CGTTAATATAGCAAATCAAGTGCATGGATCCAGGGGCCAGCTTTAACCGTCCATACATTTCCTGGTTGAAATAAGATTTTGATATATAATTTATGTCATTATCTCCTTATTCAAATATCTACCAAAGACAAACTTTGTACTCTATTCACACTATTTATCTTTAAGTGTCTTTTATACATTAAACATAGTCTGAATAAAGACCACTTAAGTCTGTCCATCTTACGTCTCACTTGAAACCATTAGCACAGTGTAAATTTCTGCTGTCCATTGTACATTGCCTGGTAAGTGTAAATGGGTCTATACATATATAAGTGTTTTTATCTACGAACTAAATTACTTTAGAGAAGAAGAATGTTCTGGACAAAGTGAATCTCTCTCAACTAAACGGACATTCTAAATAGCATTTGTATGGAAAGCAATGCATCCAAAATTATTCAATATTTAGCCTCCAGGGATGTATTGATCATTTGTTGACAGCTCGTCAAAAGACACGATAAAAAGTAGGTGTAACTAAGCGAAATGTGACCATGTAACCACCATGTCTAAAATTTCAAATCAGGATATTGAGCTATTGGGAATAGATTGTCAGATTTGCTTACCTTAATAGGGTTACATCTATATCTAATCTAAGCAATTTTGAACTTCAATGTTATTTTTAAGGTACATAGACAAAATCATCCAGGCACTTACTTACACAGTGTGGAATGTGGGAACTGAAAATTTGTATTTCTTTGATAAAGATATCCTGAAGCTTTAGATAGTTGTATAGGATTAGGTAAAAGAGATTTGTCCTTTAACAGTTTCAAGTTGAAACTTCAACTATTTTCAGTATTTATGTAATTGGAAAGTTCACAGCTATGTTTGGCAACAGATACCGACAATATGAACATCAAAAAACGGTAACTTCCAGACTAACAGAAGGTATATCATTATTTTAATAAAGTCCTGCTCGCATTGGTAACCGATCTGTAGTTCCAGTTGCTAACAAGAACTGCTTTCTTTTATTTGCCTGACTTCCGTCCTCTTTAAATTATTATTACGGATCAACAGTAGCAAAGATCTCTTGTAATGTATTAAAATTATACTTTGAATGTGGATGACCAGAAATATCACATATAAAGGTGGTGGTCACCAACAGTGTCCTTTAGAGTAAAGGAGAGAGAGAGAGGAATGGGGTTTAACGTCCACTCGACACAAACGCGTAGGGGTCTTTAGCAGTGGGAGGAAACCGGAAGACCCGGAGAAAACAGACGAGGTTGGACAGGCGACCCTACTCCTTGTCACGTACTCCTGGGGATTCGAATGACAGACTCAATGACAGACCTTATGAAACAATGTGCACGCTCTAAACCATTCGGTCATCCAACTCCCTTTAATATTGCCAGATGTTACAGCTGTGTTTGACGACAAATATTGACAATTTGTGTGGGAAATATCCCAAATATACCACATTGAAACAGGGTACAATAGTCAATGGTCGCTGGTTGTTATTTTTATATTCTTATTTCTTCTATCAAAGCCTTTCTAAACTTACCATTAGTGTCTGGATAATTGAGTTAACTTTATTAACCCTATGAAGAACAGAACATATGCCAAATAATTCTGGTAATTTCTATTTTCAAATACAGCTTTGACTAGAACAACCAAATGGTTTCTAGCAAGCTTCGTCAAGTTATGATAACAAATGGCTGATTCCTGTGATAAAATATTCCAAGTTAAAGATACATTTATATGGAAGATTAGATACAGATTATATGGAAGATTAGATAATAATTAACAACTACATGGTGTAAAGGGAATATGCTGAAAATTTCAGTAAAAAGACTTCACTCTAAGCCAAGAAAAACTTATTTTAAAATCTTTGTAGCCTCGATTGTCATTGTTACTGCTGTCACGATAATTAACAAAGCCTTGATTATCCATTTTGGCTTTTCAATCATCAACAGACGTTGAACAGCAGATCAGATTCAAATCCAATGAAAATCAGACAGATAAGATGGCATCGAGAGTTGATTATGCTCTTTTCATGTTACTTAATGCCTAATTAATAGTTTATATAACATTTTAGGTCTAAAGAAAGACCTGCACTAGGCAAATTTACCGCTTGCATAATGCATGTTTAACTATTCCAAAAAAATACTTAAAGGAGCTAAGTCGCTAATATTTGGGACCTAGAAATTGACACAAATGGGTTGCAACACATACAATAATGAAATATGAATGTATATAAATTGATTTACATTCAATCGTTTCTGTTTTTACTGTAATTTCCTATCAGTTAGGTTCGGCGAAATATGCCAGTATTCTCAATCGAATTTCAATCTCTAGCGACTGGTTATTCCAACCTACGCCGATAGTATTTATTGGGCATGCTCTCCAGATAAGAATATAGCGTCACCGTTTGACATGACTTGTGGAATATGCCTAGCCTCGTTTTGCGAGTCCCTTACTACAAATAGCGCTAAAAAGTATTATGGTACACGATTCGTGTACCAATTGTAAAATGTTTATTTTGTCTTAAATATTGGATATCAGAAGGCCATCTTTTCCCGGTAAGATCACAACATCAATGTTGATTTAAACCGATAAATAAATCGTGTTTTTAATGTTGAAGATTTGGGATGATATGAGTTAGAGACTTAGCTACTTTAAAATAGGCTCATAATTGATGACATGAATAATGCCAGTCCCAATACTAATAATATTGATTATGAATATCCTATATATAACATCAACTCAACACAAACTAGATCATTTGGGGACTAACATATGGTTTAAATTTATGTCAATAATTCGCTTGTGCATAAGAATATTTAATGTAACTAAATGCAAAATATTTTTGTTCATATAATCAAGTGTCTCATATATAAATCCTGCCAAGCTCTCCTATTACTTTATTCCCTGTGTTAAATCATTGGCTCATAATTCAATATCAGATTCAGTTTTCATTTTCAAACTAATAATAGTATCATAATATCTTGTCATCCAGTAACTAATCCTCCAAGATTCTTGTATAATACATGTACCTCGATATCCAGTCACTCTCAGTCATATCCCAACACTACATCTTGAACTCTCGTGAGAACATTACATAAGCCAGCAACTCCTCCTGTGTAAATTGAATCAAATGGTAATATTTTTCCTAACCAAATGTCAAAGAATGCCAAAAGCCATAAATTACCATGAATGAATCATGTGACAAGTGAATTCTGGCTTGGGGTTTTATTGTCTGTCCTCTACTCTCCATAATTAAAACTGAACAAACACCAACATAAACCAGGAGACAACCATAAAATGATAGAAAAATTGATCAGTATTAGTTGAGGTCATGAACCTTGTGTATTTACATAACCAATTAGTGCCTGTTTTAAACATTTTGCTATGGGCAAATGAAATGGTGTTTAACGTTCTACTGTTCTACTCCAACAGGACTGATGAAGATGAGCATAAGCTACACTGTGTGCTATGATGGAAATATTGCCCAGACAGCGATACTATCAAATTTCAACTGCCAAGGGATCTTTTATGCGAATGTCAATGTTGTACACGGGGAAATGGTTGTTAATAATGACAAGTAAATAAATAATGTCAAGGATATCTTATTTAAAAAAAAGTGTTAAAAGTCAACATTTGTTTTTTGTCTTCCAATAACTCAGTGGTTTTTAACCTTTTTCTGGCAACAGCACACCTAGGAACGCATAAAAAAAAACAGTGGGACACCTGGCTAAATATATACGAAAAATATTTAAATTTTGCAAAATAAAAACATGTAAGTCAGACGTCATACAACCGTAGACTGAGACTAATCATAGACACATATAATGATTCAAACTAAATAAATAAAAACACAGCTATGAACTTATCAGTAGACAACAGTGAATACTTAAATGGGATCACATGGCTTATCGCATTTTCTTAGTGTGCCGTTCAAAATTTCGCGGCACATTTTGGAAGATCTCGTGGCACACTGGTTGAGAATCACTGCAATAACTCATGGTAACTGTCACCTTTTTACTTCCCAAATATTTACATGTTCACCTACTTCAATCTAATAATTTGATCCATTTACAGTTATGTTAGAATCATAGAAATCTATTTTATCACAACTCTTCACTCTTGAATTGAATAGAGCTTCCCACATCTATGAAAATAACCTAAAACTGACAGTTCATTAAAAGGGATTTTGTTGTTGTTTTTTGTCTTCCCATCAATCATTATGACTGTCACCATATTAGGAAAATGTTTACATGTACATCAATCTCATTGTAATATTTTGATCTTTTTATGTTTACTTGAGTTCAAACTAATATATTTTATTACCAAATCTTTGTGCTTCGGGATCTTATAGTAACTTAAAAAGGTTGTAGAGAGAGAGATTGTGAGACAGAGAGACGTTGGGTTTACTCGACACAAACTAGGTCATTTCGGGACTAACACATGGTTCAATTTTATTTCAATATTCGCTTGCGTGTAGGGGTCTCTAGCAGTGGGAGGAAACCAGAGGACCAGAGAAAACCCACAAGGTTGGACACGTGACCCTACTCCTTGTCACATGCAACCGGGGAATCGAAACCACGCCAGATGACTCAATAACAGACCTTATGATACAGAGCGCACATGCTAACCATTCGGCCATCCAACCAACCCCCTCAAAAGGTTGTGGATGTTTTGTCTTCCCACATAACTGTCACCATATACACATGTACTTTGGCATTATTTACATCTACACCAAACTCTTTGTAATATTTTGATTGTTTTATAGTTTCTGATTCTATGTGGACTCGCAACATGTACTAATATGCCATAGCATTTGATACATTTTGGTCAGGTTTAAAAAATAACATGCATTCCACACTGAAACCTGGTCAATTCAAATATCAGATTATATTTACTTCCACAAAATCATGTGCACAGTGAGAGGAAACGTGTGCGTCTAAAGAAAACCCACAAGATTTAGCCGTTACATAGTATATCTTTAAAAATATATAATTTAATCTTACCTTAAAATGTTTTATATAATCCTTATATTAATGCTATTCATTCCGATCCTACACTAGCAGCTGAAAAATACAAAGAAATAATATAGACTAATAATATAGTGGTAGAGTTTTGTTTGCACACAGTTTAAATCACTATATTGGGACCTGGCAGTGGGCCGCAAGTGTTTAGTACTCTTCTTGTTAAGGGCTACGCCAGTTCTTGTACAATCGACATGCAACTTGGATTACTTGTTCCTCGGAGAATTGGGAATCGATTGTGGGGCTTTGATTTTTGATATAGCGTTACAATTCAATGATGTAATGATGTAATGCTTAGTTCCTGGTCCATATTTTAAACTAGCAATAAATCTATGCAAGTCAGAATAATTTGTTTTCATTAAACATGCATTATACAATAGCTAAATCTGCCTATTGTAGGTCTTTCTTTTTGCCTGAAATGTTATCTAAATTATTGATTAGACATTTATTATACACGTATGATCAAAACCATAATTAACTCTCGATGCCATAGTTAGAATGCGATATTTAGTGGATTTAAATACCTTTTGTGATGGTTAATTTAACATAAAAATGGATAATTGAGTCTTAGTTTACTATCACACCAAAGTTAGTAATGACGTTCAAGGTTAGCCTAAAATTGAATCGCTAATATCTCAGTTCATAGTGAAGCAATTTGACTGAAATTTTCAGCATATTCTGTTTTCATCATCTATTTATTAACTATTATAGCGAGAAATGTCAGCTCTTTATTTTATCTTACCTAATGCCCCTTGAAACAGCCTCTAATCAAACTAAATTGTTTAATATTAAATCATAAATTCTAGCAGTTTATAATTAAGAACTGATTCTTGCAATATGTGTGTGAATGTTGTTAATCTCTCTATAACCACATTTAGTGTACTATTTTGGTAGACATCCAATTTAGGAATAAAGATTTTCAAGATATTTATGGACGATCGTAAGATTCCACAAATTTGAAGACGGCCATAATTAATCATAATATGTTTTAATTGTAATATCCATTAAAGAAAAGATGTGCTTGGTGTTTATAAATTTATAACAATATTTCATTTATAGAGAGACAGATGGGTGATATGGATCAGACAAAACAGTTACACAGCAGATATGGTGAAATGAAATATTTTTTTTTAAAACATCCTACTATTCTGTACCGACATGATACCGTTTGATAAATATTTCCCGAGAAAATATCAATATTAGATATATCAACTTGTGAAATATCACCATTCATTTTAATTTTCAAGAAGGCCCCACAAAACTGGCATTTGATTTTTAAAAGTCAATTTAATCATATAGAAAAAAAGAACAAGTCCTGAGAACATCCATTCTAAAATTTTGACAGGATATCCATTTTTTGGCCAGCAATTCAAAAAAAATAATTAAAAATACCTTGTATGATTTTATACTTAAATTTCTATGTCTTCTCAACACAAGAATCATTTAATCATAAAATAAAACAATCTGATTATTTCAACAACAGAAGAGATCTTTATGAAACTCAAAGCAGTCACTTGATCAACTTGTGAATAGGACTATGTACAATGATGCGTGGTACATGTATAGAATTCATGTATTTAATTGTACGTTATCATTACACAGGTACTGAGTGAACTATACCACTGGTGTCAAAATCGGCCAGAACACAGATTGAAAAAATCGAAAAAATATCGTGATGGCATGGAACAAGAATGGTTTTAACACATGTTGGAGACATTAGTACGAACTATATATCCACCAAGTTTCAGATTTTTAGGTTCTCATCTACAGAGTTAAATAGGCTCGAAAATACTGATAGTTCAATTGATTTAAATAAAATCTATTTTATTATTTCAATATATTCTATCATATATTATTCAATTCAGCACATAATCTTCCCTATTTATTTTATCCTATATTTCATTAAAGCAATTCTAACAAAACCTACTGTTACACTAACTAGTTTCTTAATAAAAATTATTTTATATTAAATTAATTTTTACAAAAACTACAGTGACTATGAGAGAGAGAGAAATGGGGTTTTAACGTCCATGAAACAAACTAGGTCATTTTGGGACTAACATATGGTTCAATTTTATTTCAATAATTCGCTTGCGCGTAGGGGTCTTTTTTAGTGGGAGGAAGCCGGAGGACCAAGAGAAAACTCACGAGATTGGACCTGCAACTGTACACCTCGTCACGTACAACTGGGGAATCGAAACCACGGCAGCTGACTCAATGACAGACCTAATGATACAGCGTGCATGTGCTAACTGCTAACCATTCTGCCATCCCCCCCTCCACAGTAACTATACAGAAACTTATTACTTTAATAAAACAAGGAGCTTCTCATACTATGTTATTTTTTACTGGTTATTCAATACAATGTCAAGTTTGTTACCAGGAATTTTTTACTATGATTTATTTACAAGGATTGGTTCCTGTTTTTCCTCGGATGCATCACTGAGATCCAAATTTGCCTGCACTGTTATGGGGACTCTTCCGCCCCTCTTTTCCTATCGTGTGTGAGGTTTTATCGTCTTCTTCTTGGGATAATAATAACATGTATATTAATATATATAGGGGTTCTTACTCCATTCAATTGTCTAAAGACATAATATCAACCATACTAAACTTTCACGGTCTGTCTACAATTTGCTCCGTTTGAAGAGACTGACCTATTAGTGTCCAAAACTTGAGAAATTGAATAATAGGTCACGCTGTGTGACGTGTGTATTTTGTTTTTGACATCCATGTAAAATGAATCTTTGGAAAGTATATATATCGATCACTATCCTTAATTAATCCATAAACATTGAGTGGTCTGTTTCCATGTTATTTATAAACTCAGTTGTCTCACTCCGCTTTATTTTTAAACTCGGTTGTCTGAATCTGTGTTATTTTTAAACAAAGCTGTCTGCATTCTTGTTATTTCTGATCAATTATGCAAGACAAAATCTATATTAATATATTTTTTAACAAAAATACTTTTAGAAAAAAAATGTGAGCCTCTAGCCATTTAATTTAAATTGCAATGGGTAAATAAATATAATGATATGAGTTTTCTCTATTCTTAGATGTATATCATGTATATCAATATCGATACCATCATTTTATCTCAAGTTTCTAACAGCAAATATACAGTCGTTTTCCTCTAAAATAATAAAAGTTAAATTTGCCATTGAACAAATAAATCATAATCATAAATATTTTCAGGATTCTTTTGACGCGCAGTTTATTGTTCAATCCAAACGACTTGATGAGCACTGTTCCTTGCACCACAGACAAGGGGAAACCACGCTGGTAAGTCCTGAGGAACATTCTGGAGGGAACCCTTGGACTACCTGGTTTGTGAATCAGCGTCTAAATCACTGAGTCAACGAAACTCTAACAGCACTAAAAAGAACACAACATTATTTGTATAATGTCTCTTTAAACTTAAAGTAACATCTGTCAATATGTCGCCAAAGTTTAATGTCTGGACACAGTATGCCTTTTAGTTTGGCCAAAGTATTTTGACGCCAAATTTACTCGTGCAAAGCAGTGGAATCACAAGGCAAATGCATGTACCCAATTTATCAGCAAAAAAGTCATCTGAAACTTAACTCATGTATGCTCTGGTGCGATTTTGGCCATATAATATACGTGCCGATAAATATTCTGCCGATAAATATTAAACATTTTCGATATTGGCAAATGGTGTTGTCCAGACAAAACAAGCAAAATTCGCTGGCGAAGGTGTCTTCCAAGTTCGACCAAATGATTATCTGTAAAAATTTGCCTTGTATGTCTTACATGTAGCCATAACATTAACAACAAATAATAAATGCACACAGTAAAACATTCAATATGATTTAACTAGAAGCAGTTTAATATCTTTAATCTAACCAATAACCAGAGGGCAGTAGTTTTTTTTAATTTGTCAAATTTTATTATAATTTACCAGTAATAAATCAACATGATCCTAAGGGAATACAATTGTCGTGTGATCATTTTCCATACGTCCCTGAGGCAACTGGTTGATTTTACAAGATTTCACGACAATTTCAAAGGAATCAATTCATGTCTTTAAGATATTTTTTCTCTTAGTCTTTGGCTATGGTTCAATCAGTGGCATTCCAGTTTCAAAGTAAACATGACTCTTAAGTCCATACTTAATAACAAGCACAATGATTAAAAGAAAAATATATTGATCCAAAAATCATTCAAATTCAATCAGCTCTATCTTTTTTACCATTTGAAGTTTACATTAGTTATGTCCCCATCTTTAATTGTCCATTTGTTACTATATTTTTATATTTGGGAGTTTTTATTTTTGTTCACAATAACAAGTTCCTACAATATTGTATTTCTTATATTTTGGACAATATTAGTCTTGGGGGGACAAAAGAAAAAGAATATTACAAAAACAGTTAAAAACTAAATTAAAAAAACTAAACAACCAAAATAACAAAATGTAACTTATTTAAAATTATTTAAATAAATGCCAAGTGGTACAAGGATGTAGAAGAGTGTAGGCGGTAACTCCCACTCTTCCCCCAACACAAACATCCTTGTTTTAGGTCAACTTTTAATTCCATTCCGAATGTCTTACTGTGTGCATTTATTATTTGCGGTTAATGTTATAGCTACATGTTAGACAAATAAGGCAAATATATGAAATCATGTTAGGCACTTACAAACTTGTACATGTACCTGGCATTTTTAACTTTTTGCCCAACATCAATCATCATTAAATTAAAAACACTGATAAAATAAAAAAAATGACAAACATGATGAAATGACATGACTTATTTGACAGGTGTCTTACACATATATAAAAATCCCACATCCTTGTCATGATTTGAAATAAGTAATACATATATAATATTGCAAACCTACACAATAATAAATGAATGGCCATCTAGCTATTATATCTGATTTCTCATTGACATCCGAAAACCACAGATATTATCTCAGGCAACTAAAGTCATAATGTTTACAGTATACCATTACCTCCAGTTTAAAGAAATAAATCTTAAAATATCAGACATATAAACAGCATGTAATAACCATCCATTAAA